TGGGGCCCAAACAACTGCGCCACTAGATGATTGAACGTTGCAGGTGCGTTAGATTGCTCTTGGGGCATCACTAACCACTCCCAGAGCATACCGCTCGGATACTGACCGCTGTCAGCGGGATAACACTAGCTCGCATGAGCAGTTGGTAATATCCATCGACTAAGTCGAGGGCACTGTACATCGTACATTCCACCATATTGTTCTGAAGAACATCCTTGCGAGGAATCGGTGTTTGGGCCGGGATAGTGGCTGCATTCAGCTTATTGTAAGCATGCACCATTCGCCACTTCCCATTAGGCTTTTCTCACACAAAACGTGGGCGTAGAGTGAGGAGACCTACTCTCACGCACCATGCCAGCCGCGTGCTTTGCACAAAAAAACTCGTCAATGACGTCACATTGTTCTCGTGGCAGCGGCCACTGTCACGTCACACAGTATTTGGTTCCTGTAACCAAGTCAATTTCATGACGTACACCTCTATCCGGAGGTAACCTCATCGGAGGTTCTCTGGAGACAACATCTCCATATTCCTTTAACAAAGGAAAATAAGGATCCGAAGGGTCCTTCAGGATCTGTGATCCACTGCGCACATTCAGCGCCTTCTTGGTATCTCAAGAACTGCTTTATTCAAAAGCGGTGAGGTGTTCAACTCCTCCTCAGGTCGTATAACGACCACTTCGGCGATGTCGCCTGCCTGTAAGACAATGCCAAACTCGGCAAAGGACAACTCGTCTAGCTCTAACAGAGCACTTACTGCGGGTACAGCTGAATGGGCCGCCAGATCTTCAACATCCCCAGTCAAATCATTGACGAGTATATATAGCTGTTTGCTATCACCGTCACTCACGACATCATCATCATCGCTACTCATGATGCTCTCAGCATCCGACGCATCAGCGTCCACATTGTAAACACCTCAGGGTCAAAGACCACATCGTTTGCTGACTGCACCCCACCCTCTTAGACCAATGCCTCGTCATGAAATGCTCGCACCTCGCTCGTTGTCCTCAAAATCAACCGTCATTTTTGAATTCACCCGACCCTCTTGGGCCAGTACCTCGTCGTTAGGTGCGTGCGCCTCGCTGACCTCAAAGACAACATCCATTGATGACTTCACCCGACTCTCCTGGGTCAGTTCCTCGTCACTCATGTCACTTGGACTCATTGACATCTTGGCTTGCAGCCACCAATACCACTCACAATGTTTAATGATGTAGCATCATTCTCATGACACATGTCATATGTGCCATCAAGTGGGTTCTCAACCATACTATCGACAGTCATTGGGCCTCGCCCAGGACTATTGTCCTCGACATTTACAGTGTCTACAAAGTCGGATATCCCGACATCCAACATATTGACCGACTCGGTCCAATATCCACGCCAAAGCGCTTTTGCTTCCTAGCAGAGGTAGGTTCATGACTCTCCAGAGCCCGACCAGGAGCATTGTGCATTGCGCCTAAGGTCTTCAATCTCTAATCAATCCATGGCTCATGGCGTTCTATCCAGGCCATGCCTAGGATGAGGTCATACCTCGCATCCAGGTCTAAGACCAAACAGCGTTCTATGCTGGTAAAGTCCAAGAACTTTACATGTAAGTCCATCGAGACTTTGGTACCGTAACACGCGTACCCGTCGCTAAGCGAACTGTGAATGTGTCACTTTCACGCGCTACAAGCGCTTCAGCATATTGCTGACTACCTTCCACGGTGGCACGGCGCACATAATTGCCCAATGCCCCCGAATTGATCAAAATGATCCATGGCTTATCATAGCTTTTAACCGGCCCTTCGACGACCAACAAGCCTGGCTTGCATCCCCGTTCCGTTTTTGAGAGTTCGGATCTCTTTGAGACTGGGCCCTATTTACTTCTACCTCCAAGAGGTTCAACAAAGCTCAGTTCTTCCCCAATAGAGCGCCCCACGCCTACTGGGTAACGCCGTTTCCACGCGGCAAACCAGAAGGTTTACCCATGGGGCGTCGGCCCTATGAGGCCAAATATGCCTTTCTTGCAAGACATTTTGCCATCAAAAGACCTTTGCTCTTGCAGATATAACATCTGCGCATAATTTGCTGCTCCGCAGCTTGAAGCTCAGCTTCTTCATCCTCTACTTGACTACAGTCCATGGTTACAGACCCATCAGACGAGTAGTTATAAGTGGCAGGCCTATCGGCCTTAAATTTGGTCTCGGCATTCCATGCCACTCCAACAGCTTCTTCAAATGATGACGGGTTTACCCGGAAGACTTCCGTTCTGGCAACTCCAACTCAGAGGCCCTCCATGAAGTCCGTGACGGTCACTGCCTCAGGCATAGGGACTATGACCTGGCAGCAATGAGAGTTCTCAACTCTTGTACATATGCTGCAAGCTCACGCTTGCCTTGGCGACACGCCAAAAACCGCGACCAATTACGGTGTGCTTGGTTTGGCGGTGCATACTGCCGGGTCATCTGAACTTTCAGCTCGCCCCATGTTGGAAAAGCATCTTGCAGTGATGCACCGCATGTGAATGCCCACTGTTTGGCTAATCCACCCAATTTGCCCGTGGCAAAGCCCATAAATGATGTCGGCTATAAACACAGCCGACTCAACCTATCGGAACCAAAGCATAAGATTATCATCTTCTTTGCGTCGAACTTATCGACTTCCATTTGTATGGGTTTTGGTCTGCGGACCACTTCTTGTGCCATAGCCGCCATGGGCGAAGACGCAGAAGAAGGCATCTGTGCCTTTACATGCTCGACTAGAGCTTTATTATACTCATCAAGCATATGAATACGCTTGTTAACCTCTTCGTCGCCTAGGGCAATGAGGTACTCCATACCCTTAGGGCCAGGGATTTGGAGCAGCTTCTGCAACCCTTCCTGTTGTGCCTGTGACAGGCCAACCGCTGACATCTCATCAATGTCCATCCTCACACAGAGAAGAAGTCGCAAACCCAGGTGCGAGATTGACTACAAGTGCTACCAGTTGTAGCCAAGCTACTGTAGCTAAGCTACTGTAGCTAAGCTACTTATGCACTACGTGCAGAGGAAGACAAGCTCAGAGAGTCTATACGTCTTAAAGTGCTTAACTTTTACAAGGCTAGCTTTACAAGCTTATGCCTTTTGGTTGTGAACAACCGTGTCTCCAAAAGACCAGTATCAAAGATACAATTCCTTACAAAAGGAATAGAACGCTCTAGCAACTAATGCTATACAGAGCAGGTTTGAAACTGATTTATATTTATGTTTATCTTCTAGCACTAAATATAGAAGCACCTACTCTATACTTAGTGCTAATCACTATTTACTGTGTTATTATTATGCAAGCATGCATAGTCACTTAACTGAACTAAGTAATAGTGACCACGTGACGATGTGACCCTTCGTACCTTAGGTACGGTCACATCACCTGATTTTGTACCCAACGTACAGCCACACCACATTGGTGTGGCAGGTGTGTAGATACAATACATACCTCATAATCCGTCACATATAATCTCGTAAAAAAAGACGTTGGTTCCATATCTAGGAGGCGTAAGCTTGTGGTAGCTTCATTTCAGAGGGTTAAGAGCCCAAAAGACGTTAAAGCTCCAACCTCTGCACTTACTGCATTTTGTAGCTTGGCTACGGCTTGGTTTCAATGTTTTTGATCAATTAACTACAAAAAAATATACAGCAAGATGCCTTCAATTCAGTTTGGCACTTCTGACTTGTCAACATATCCATTGAAACCGACATAGCCGATGGATTAGGATCCGTCCATCGATCACGTTCTGCTTGCCGAGCACAGATATCATTTGTCACCAAAATCGCCGCATAAACTATCTCCCCCACCAATCTTGTTGCTTTGGCGCGGCTGAACATCCCTTTTACTCGCCATTAGTGTCCGAAACAACCGTTTCGCCAACCCATTTTGTTGCGGCAAATATGGCATAGTCATCCGGTACGCAACTCGAAACCTTTGAGATACATGTGAACCAACTCTATTCGTACACCTATTGTGATAAACTTATTATATTCTCGGACAGCTGATCATCTATCAGTGCCTTGTATTCCACGACACAACGTACCACTTTGAACTTGTGTATGAAGTAACGGATGTGTGGTTATCGATAAAACCCATGAATATCCTTAGGACTTTGCATGGTTCCAAACGCGTTGTGAATGTGTTTTTACGCATACCTTTTCGAATCTTAACTTACGAAGATCTGCCAGTCAGTCTGCCCATCATGCATCCTCCGCATATGTTTAATAAGTCGTCAAAGTGATTTTTCTTTATTTATTGTACGACGCAACTATCCACATCCTTTACTCGTTCGTTGGCAGACGGCTATCGTGCATGCCAAGCCCGTGTACCAACTGATCTCTTTGAAAGTTGCCGTTAATCTGACTCATCCAGACTGTACATCTTGTTTCGTCTTAACACTTTGCTATCGCCTGTGTCGCTCTTGATCTGACGCTTAGATTCTAAGAAGATCACATAGAGTCCCTGCCGCATCTGGCACTAATCTGCAGACCACTTTCAGGAAACACAGTGCTTTCTTGGTTGCTACTCTACGACTACGACGCCAAAGTCAAAATTATCGTACGGTTGGTGCCATCTGTAACAACTTCTGCTGTTATCGACGCTCAGATTTCAACTCGCGCTCATATTGGAGGCATCACGGCGAGCAAGTGAGTACCTTACTCAAAAAGCTTCATAGAAGCGCGACCAATCGAACGTTTGAAGGCATCAAAGGCGCGTTACAAGACTTGACAGAGGCCAATTATATATACGAACGGCCAGATAATGTTTCGCGACGCAGAAGCAGAAGTGACCATAACGATGGGCAAGGTGATTCGAATGACGTGAATGTATACGCTTTGTGGCTTGAAAGAAAATTCGAAAGTAAGAGGGAAAGCGGTCGGTAGAAATCCGACAACTAACGCCTCCTCTCCGATTAATTTTACGATGGAAAGGCGAATGCTACGACGAGGGCAAACCAGGAGATCATCCTGTACACCAAGTTGAACGCGATGAAATGTAACTCCGACTGGACCGTCACGCAGCACGTGGAGAACATGTGTATGATTCAAGATGAATTGACCGCTGTAAACGCAAGTGTTCGGGGCCCACTCTTTACACAGATGATAATTCGATCGTTGCGAGCGAATTCGCGCTTCGATCGTCTGATAGGCATGGTTGAGATTGGTGACGACAAGTTTGAAACTCCTGACAAATTGAAAGAACAACGACGTCGTAAACATTTGGAGCGTGGTATCACGAAGAAGAACCAAGTGGTTTATCTGGATTTACTTTATCCCAAGTACAGCGCGAGCCTAAAACCATACAAGACGGTGCTTGTTGTCGTGGGTGAATATTCACGGTATACTAACGTTTACCTACTCTACTCGAAGAACGCATCAGAGGTAAAAAGCCATTAAGCGCTACGTTACCTTGGCAGAGCGTCAATTTTCCGACAATAAGGTCAGGAAAGTGGTGTCTGACGGCGGAGGGTAATTTGTGAATGCAGAGATGACAACGTGGTACAGACGTCTTAGTATTGAGTTTTTACCAAACACACCCCATGGGTCACACTTGAATATGTATGCGAAGACACACCAGATCCTAACTCACACAATGATGGCTGCTGCCCGGCTACCAATATCGTTTTAAATGCATCGATTAAGATCCTAAGGAATAGGGCTTCCTGTCGATCATACAGATTGATGATGATCAAGAAGCCAAACCTACATGGAATCAAAAATTTTGGATCCACCACTTGCGTTCTTGCGTTCATCAAGCCAACAAGCCTTCAAGGAAGAAGCTGGATGATAATTGCGCAACCGGCATTCTGTTGGGTTACATGGAAGGCCAAGCAGGATTTAAAGCTTATTTTCAGCAGAACATGTGGTTCAATGCGTGTTAGATGCTTCTACCAACGAGGGTATTGTATACGGTGATCGATATGACGAAGGATAAGACTTAACCATATCAGACTGGTTGTCACGTGATGATGAAGACATTGGTGACAGAAGGTAAGTTGATAGCACTGGCGACATTATTGCGTCGGATTGCGCCATTAGTGCGTCTGATTGCGAGTCGATCCCGATTGACTCTGACAGTGAGTCAGTCCCGGATTTCGACCGCTTTAAAGTAGCATAAGAGAATGTAGATGCAGAGAAAAGAGACATACCTGGGGTCGACAGGGATACGCTCGACGGAATTACAGTGAGCCCTGTGTGTGCCAGCGATATGATGATTATTAATGGAAATCTTACAAGCGAGGTTCATCATCTTAATAACCTTTATAGTTTGGAAGGTGAAACGATACAAGATACCGGAGCAGGTGCAGACAATCAATCAGTTAGCGAATTTTGCGACGCTGATCGGGGAGATTTGGTTAATCCTAGTCTTGAAGACTGGTCACAGACATCCGATAATAGTAGCAGCGAGAACGAAGAAACAGACGATCCCCAGATTGGACCCAGCAAGGGATATGACGCCTGTGAAATTGACTGCAATCTGCAAGATGCAGTTCATGATGATGAAGCAAAGTCTGGCACAGAGGTGACTGTACTCCCACGCGATGGTGAGACGACGCGTGACTTTAACCCTGACCTGATGGCTACATGCATGAATTCTGAAATTATCACTGGCGAACGTAGAAAAGCACTGGACGCGGATCTAGAAGATGTCCAAGAGATGAAAAGACGGCGATATAGCGAAGGCAGACCGCAGAAAATGGTCTTGCGCCAAACTACAGAGAGACGATACTTTTTGTGGCGTAAGGGATATCTTGTTAACGCTGCGATCCAAGAAAACGGACAAATCATCACAATGGAACGCAAATGGCGGGCCAATGAGACAAAGGTTCCAAGAAGCTTTACTGAAGCAATGAAGACGCCACAGAAGACGAATGGTATGCTGGTATGGAAAAAGAGGTGAGCACCATGTTCAGTAAAGGAGTGTTTGTCCAAAATTGATGCAGCAGAACCTCCTAAGGTCTCAACTAAGTTGGGATTGATGTGGAGATTTCAAGTAAAGACTGATGACCAAGGAGACATTAATTGCTTTCGTCCCAGACTTGTGGGATTAGTAAATCACACAATTGACTTCGTGGAATCCTTTTCACCTGTGACACGGATTGTTACCTTTTGAGTGTAGGTGGCGCTCGCGACAAAACCTGGGCTGGTGTTATATTAAAATGTTGAAGCCGCATACTTGGATGCAGGTCTAAAGAGTAAGCAGTATGTCCGACGTATACTGGGAATTCCGCAACCGATAAGACTCATCTACCGTGGGATCGAGCGCTTTATGGCTTGCATCAGTCAGGAGCCGAATGGAATGAAGAGATTACACAATTGTTGGTCACACAAGAGTTTAACAGAAGTGAGACTGAGCCATATCTTTACCTCTATTTCAAGCATGAAGTGATAGTTTTTAGCTATACGTCTACGATATGGTCTTAGCGACCAAGTCAGAGGCATATCAAACTCGTTGTTTGAAGCCATCGATGCGAAATATGGATTCAAGATGGAGGCAAGCTGCACTACTTTCTAGACATCAATGTTGAGCAAGATGAGACAAAGACGTATATTCACCGGACTAAGTACTGCAAGGAGGTGCTCGAGAGATTTGGTTTGGCGAAGAGCACAGTAGTGCAACTATGGAGACTAACGCGAGGTACAGTAAGCGCAGTGAACCACCTGACGATGATCCCATTAATTTTGATTACTGAGGAGCTATTGGATCGATGATGTACATGGCGACAAGTACAAAGCCCGATACTTCCTATGCTGCAGGCTATTTGAGCCGTTTCGTAAGCAACCCATCGCAAAAAACATTGCGGCGCAGCCAAACGAGTGATGCATTAGATGCGCAAAAAAATTGGAGTAAAAAGAAAATGTTGGTCATTACTGGATATTGTGATGCTGATTGAGGCAATGATCCCGACTCAAGAAAAAGTATAGCAGGAATCGTCTTGCAGAACTTACATGCGCAAGGTGTTCCGACGGAGGGCGTGTTGCGATATGTTCCCAACTTGAAGCCGCTGGAACATCTCAAGTCCATTAACCGTTGATGGTATCACGGAAGAAGGGAAAAGGCGGATATACGAACGGAACGAGTTGGCCGTTCGCAGGTTAGCTGCAACCGCATTCATGAAAGCTGAGTGGGAAGAGTGCTAAAAGCAAGGCAAGTCGTCGATAGCCAGAAAGAGCTAAGCTAAGCAAAGTAATATGTATTATTGTGTGTCAAGATATATATTTCTGGTGTTATCCTTTTGTTCAGGAGGACCACACTACTTGAAGCTGTAGAGCGATTGCAACACAAGGTTGACGTTGATTGAAGCGATATGTATAGTCAAATGAGTTTGTACCCACCTCAACTGACGAAAGACAAAACAAATCGGTCATTTATTGAATACATTGCATCCGTCAAATATACCAGCCAAACGTTTCATAGAAAGTCAATGCTTTCTTCTGGGATACGTCGTATTCGTCTCACTAATATCTGAAAACAACGGATACGGTTACGTCTATTCTGTCAAAAACACAATACGAAACTATCGCTCGAGTAGCCATAAGTGGAAACGAAGCTGTCAATCTATGGGTGCTGTGCGTGTCGATTTGACGTGTCAAGCGCATGATATCATTTCCTGCCCTCCTCGTTTTCGTCTTTCGTCTTCTTACCAGCCCCAGCCCCCCACCCCCAACCAAGGCCGCCACAACAGCCCCAGCCTCTGCCCCATCCTCCACCCCAACCAAGGCCGCCACAACAGCCCCAGCCTCTGCCCCATCCTCCACCCCAGCCAAGTCCACCCATTCCGGATTTTTCCCTCTCGAGCACACATCGTTCTCGAACTCTCCTGTCACCCACAGCCTCTCCCGCCGCCGTTGTCGTCCAGTCCTTTGCGTCTGCTCGCCTTCGCCTCGCCCCGCTTCGTTCGTCTCACTTCTTCCCCGAAGTGTTGTTGTTCCCGCTCGCGCCCTTTGGCTTACGTTCTCACCGATCATGACCACGCCCCCGCGTTCTTCGCCATCTTCGCGCTCATCGCAGCCTCTGCGCTCTTCGGATCGCTCGGCCACCGTTCTGCCACGTCATTCCCTACCGCCCCGTCGCTTCGTCCCTGACGACAGTCTGTTCACGGCCAGTTATTCGCTGATTGGTGATGACTCGTCGACTGACGACGATCGCTACTTCAACGCCAGCACGCAACTACCTACGTCAGTTGAAGCTGTGCAGCGCACACGCATGTGGATTCCCGCGGCGCGCTTGTCTTCCGAGCATAGCACCGACGAGATTCTTCAATCACTGGCAGGTGACTCTCAGCCAGCCATTTGGCAGGCTCATCGCGCTTCTTTGCGCTTTGTCCGGATTCCCCACCAGGGGATATCATTTCTCTGCACCTCTGACGCGGCTCTACACTCTTTGGGTGGTCTTGCGTTGCAGGTGTGTGGTTCAACGGTCCACATCCGTAAGTATTCCAAGTACGACAAACTGTACTTCGTGGATCTGACTCGGCTTCCCGGTGACGTGCCTGATCGCGCTATCTACAATTGGTTCATGGACCGTGGGGCTCGTCCGGTGCTCATTACGCCGACTTACGTTGCCGGAGAGCTTAAGTCTCGCGACCGAACGGTGTATTTCCACGCCGTCCAGTGCCCACCGGGTCTCTTTCTCGAGAATGGCGAGCCGCTTCGCGAGATTTTCTTTGACCCTGAGGACAAGCCGTGTTTTGTGCAGCATCGGCTTCGTAAATTTAACCGTGTCAAGCCTCCATCGCTTCGCCGACAGGCTTCTCCTCCTGTATCTTCTGGTGCTGTTGACGATGGCGACACCAGCATGGGAGCCAGCGATGCTGGGTCTCTCACTGACGGTGGCCCCATTTTGCCTGCTCCCGCGACGTCTGCATCTCGTGCAGCCCCAGTTCCAGGCCCCTCGATTTCTGCAGTCGTCCGCGCTTCTCGTTCTACTACTTCGGCCGCCCGTTCGGCTAAAAAACTCTTCATCTTGGACTCGGTCGACGCGACAGCGCCCGCGTGGACACTGGTTCAGGCTTCTCGCAGAGGTGTTACGACCGCGGCGGGACCGGTGAGTGCTCCGGACGGTTTGCTCCCGTGTTCTCTTGCTGAAGACCCCGCTGATCCATCGGCGTTAACGTACTTCACGATGATCGACGTGTACAACTCGTACGAAGTTCTCACTGATACTGCGCACGATGATACTCAACCTCCGGACGTCGATATCGCTGCCTATGATGAGCACGGCAACGCTATTGCTGGATTCACGAAAGATACCCCTCTCGTCCCGCGTCGTGCGGCACGTGCCCTCATGGGCACTCGACAGCTCAAGCCCAAGCGTCAGCAACTCTCACCGCAAGAATTGGATGCGCTCATTGCTGAATTTGTGGCCAACGATGTAATGAACTACTCGGCGCATGATGATCTTCTGGCGGCTATCCAGGTTCAGCCTGCTTACCTACGACACTTATTCTCGTTGCCGGTGGAATGGTTAGATCGCACGTATCGTACTCATGCGGTCTACCGTGCTACGCGCGGTATCCAACTTCCTGATGACCGGACGGACATGGTTTCGTTTCTTCAAGTCAAATTTGCAGCGCCAGGGGCTACTCTGGCTCAACTTTTCGACTACGTTTTTACGGATGACGAGCTCCGCCGTGCTGCTTTGTCCTGGGCCACGTGTGACTTGTTCCTCATGACTTTTGCTCCTGGAGTTTACTTCGATCCTGTGAAGTTTGGAATGTTGTTACCGGACCGTCTCGCCAGTAAACGGCTTCACCACACGCCCTTCCTGCTTTGGAGTGATCTCAATTTACAGTGTGTCACTCGGTCGGATGTGGTGGCTGTCTTTTTGAACGATCCGCGAGCCCCAGACGCTGTTCGCCGCGCCGTCCAAGCGCTCAAGGATACTTCTCTTCCTGTAGTTATGACTGCGTCCAGCCAGGTGGTCCCCGCTCAACTCTAATGAGGCGTGGGCCTTTACTGGCTTATCACTCAACATTAATGGATTAAATCACCCCCCATCGACGCTTTACGATCGTCTTCTCTCCACGTATCAGCTGGTCGCGGTTCAAGAGACCAAGTTTGTCGGCCCTGATGCTCTTCAGACAAACGAACATTTCATTTTTGCAGCAGGCTCTGGAGCACAATGCTTTTGGTCGGACTCCTCTTCGCCTGCTTTCACGGGACGCCATGGTGTTGGCATTGTTTTCTCTTCCGCTACGCCTTTTCAAGACATCCGCGACCTCACGGCTGATGTCTGCTCCATCCCGCTCATCAACCGGTACATACCTCTTCAAGCTCGGCTGGGCGATATTCCTGTATACATTCACGTGGTCTACGCCCCAGATGAGCCTTCGGAACGTAGCGAATATTTTTGTACGCTTCCGACTGAGTTTTTGGATACGGTTCCTGATCGCGCTGTCCGGCACCTTGTGGTCGGGGATTTTAACGTGACTTTGGACAGCTATTTGGATCAGAAGGTTCCCAGTCTCCATTACCCAGGATCCGGGCGTGAGGATCTCTGTGCTTGGATGGACGCGCTTGGTTTAATGGATTCGTGGCGCCATATGCACCCGGATACCCGTGATTTTACGAGTCCTACCCGCAAAAACCGCCTCGATTATTGTCTTCTTACTGCTGACTTCGTGCAGGATCACCTAGTTGACGTCTGCCATGTGAGAGATCGTCGATGGCATACTGAAGATCATATCCCAGTCGAGTTTAGACTCCAGGCGAAGCTGCTACCTCGGGGACGTCAACCTCCGTGGCGTTGTCCACCGTGGCTGCTCAAAGATCCTACAGTTCGGGCCTATCTGACTGCCTCCGTTTCTGAGTTAGGCCGTCGCATCAAGATCTTTTCGGGTGCTAACCCGGGGTGTCTTCTCGACGAGCACAAACGCGCGGACAGCATATACCTCAAGC